TACCATTATCAGATAAAGAGATTCAGGATGGGCGGATTTGGACGCCACATGCAAAGCTGCTTGGATTATACTGATAATATATATGAGAACTGCGTTTTATGTGCAAATGCAGAGATCCACCATATGAAATAGATTCTCATGAGACAGGCGTAATACGAAAAGAATACACTTGTTAAAAAACAGGAACGAAAAGGCAGGTCCAGGTAACTGCCGTTTAATAAAAGTACGCGAACAATACGCTGCATTTTTAGGCGCCATGGAGGTGGCCACTTCGACCCAATAACAATAACCGTCATCTCTGACAAACTTAACCACTCTTCACCGTTGGTGGAGGGAATCGTCGTACCGGGACCTAGCACGAGTTGTCTGCGCAGATATTTTCAAGGTCGTTGGTCTGACTCAATCATTGCGACATGGCCTGGTGTACACTCGAATCCTCTCAGTTGGTTCGCAGGTTTACGACTTCAGCGACTATCATTTGTCCCTGCCTTTTTTTGACTGAAGTCACAAACTGAGGCCGGATTTCTGCGCTCAAGGCCTCAGCTGCGATGGACGGTTGTGATTTTGCAGCATTAAAACGTCTTACAGGATACCTTTTGGATGCCAATGAGAGGCGAGCTTTCGTATGTGCGAATGAGAACATGATCTAACCAACAATGGTTGCCGGTTTCGACACCAAATCTTGATTTTTGAACCTGAACTAAAATACATTCAGTCGAGCGTCCCATATGATCACAGTTGGTACAGTGGGTCGGCAGGTGTTTTAGGCATGCGGGAAAGACGTGTCGGTGACAACTAGCTGGTTCCGGGCTGCAATGGTCGGCATGCCCATAACATTATCTCATCGAGAACCAGGCCCGAAGCGGCCAGCACTGTGAAGAGTCACCCGGTCGAGTACAAAGATTCTAGATCCTGACGAGTAAATACATTCTTTAGCAGCAAGAAGCAGATTTACTGATCGCGCTGGTCGGCAACTAACATTAGTGCGTACACAGAGACGACGTAAGACTCGGTAAAGTGCCTATTCAGTTGCACGTGACCCGGATGGTCATCGACTGGTTCACACGCGAGTGGCACACTGTCCACTTGTGAGGGGTGGACCGCGTCTACCAGAAGAGTTGCGTGGGCTGCTGCCATAGCATGGGTCCATAAGTATTCTTCAGCACGCCTTGACAAAACTCTCGTAGAAGGGTTATCTCTTGGTCCTAAGTTTTGCATTGCATGGCGAAGGCAGAAGCAACTTGAGCTCGAAACCCAGTTCGAGAGTCTCTCTAGCCAGACTAACGATCTAAAACCCTCCCAGCCTAGAGAAGTTGACTATCTCAAATCGACTCTGGTAAACTGCTGTGAACAGTATTTATGAAAGGGTCCGAGGAACAAAGGTCCCTTAACAAGAGCCCACCTCGATAGTCTCAGGAAGCTTCGTGAAAATGAACATATCTTACTAACCAGACCCGACAAGGGCTCAGACATAGTGCTGATGGATAAGACGGATTACGTGGAGAAATCAGAAGAAATCTTATCGGACCGTACAAAATTTTTTAAATCCGAGAAAGACAGGAATCGAACCGAGACAATCAAGAGGCAGTTAACGAATGTGCTCAAAGATCTCCACAAGGAGGAACTCCTGTCTGACAAGGAGTTTGAAGGGCTAAAACCTCTGGGCACGACGATACCCAGAATGTATGGTCTTCCCAAGATTCAAAAACCCGGGCTACCACTACGTCCAATCTTAGACATGAGAAATTCACCCTATCACGTAATAGCAAAATTGCTGGTAGAAAAGTTAAAACCGCTTCAAAGTTGCCTGTATCCGCGAAGTTTGAAAGACACCTTTGAGTTTGTCGAGGCCATCAAGAACATTAACGTGGACGGACAAACGATGCTCTCGTTAGATGTATCATCACTGTTCACCAACGTACCCGTTGTGGAGACAATAGACTTCCTGGTCGACTTCATCAGGGAAACAAACTACCCAATTGGCATGACAGTGGAGACGCTAAAAGAACTACTTACGCGATGCACACAGAATGTCCAATTCCTCTGCGACGGCCAGCTATACAGCCAAATAGATGGTGTGGCAATGGGTTCACCGCTTGGACCGTTTCTCGCAAATGTCTTCATGGGCAAGGTCCAGCAAACGAGTCTCAAAGATACCATTAATGACCTTAAATTCTACGGTCGATATGTGGACGATACCTTTTGCATGACGAGTCATACCACCGACATCAATGGTCTAGTTCGCAAGTTTAACGGGGCGCACCCATCTCTGATGTTTACCGCAGAGACCGAGGCGAATAACGAGATCGCATTCCTCGATGTCCTTCTACACAGACAAGAGGATGGATCCATCCAACGCAAGATATTCAGAAAGAAAACCTGGACGGGACAATACATTAATTTTCACAGTTTTGTTCCCTTAAATCTAAAACGAAATTTAGTCCAGGGACTGGCGGCTAGAGTGCGACGCATCTGCTCTCCTGACACTGTTGAAGAAGAACTCCAGCAGCTGCAAAACACGCTCCGCGAAAACGGCTATCCAGAGCGATTCATCCTCCGGAATATTAGAGGGCGGGCCACAAAACCGGCCGTTGCAACTGCGGAGAAGACTTATTTCTAAGACTACCTTTTCTAGGAGACGCAGCAAGCGAATTAGTGAGACGACGTCTCAGGACAGCTCTTGCGAGTGCCTTCCCCGCGGCGAACTTGCGCGTATTCTTCGCAAATTCCCCCCTACTACGGTTGGGGGGGCAAAGACCGGCTGCCGTTACAGGCCACATCCATGTGCATTTATTTATTCACCTGCTCCTGTGGAGCGGGATATACTGGCCGTACAATCAGGCGTCTGGAAAAGAGAATACGCGAACACATGCCTGCCTGGCTAGGTAGAGGTGAACACCGATCGATTTCGAGTTCAATTCTCGCACATCAAATCGATACGAACCATCAAACCGACGCTAAAGAAGCTTTTAAAGTTATCTACCGGGCACCGGCACAGTACTCTAAAGGCCTGTGCAAACGGGTGCTAGCCACAGCCGAAGCAGTGGCCATTCGACTGGCGAACCCAGCACTCTGTTGTCAGAAGACGCTGACACAAGCAGTCTGTCTTCCCTGGCCGACTCCAGACGGTGATCACACGCCGTCCCGACGCACTGAGAGCAGTCACACGCACTCACAGCGCCTACAATCTAACCGGAACCCCTCTACTTCCCCCCCCCTCCCACTCCAACTCCAGCGTCCTCAACACGCTGACTCCGTCATGCGGGCGGCGTGGGAACATGGAGTCCGATTAACCCCGCCCCCCAGACGCATTTATACCCTGTCGACAATTAGACTGATCATTTCCCTTGTAAATGTACAGGCCTGATGAGAATTTACCGAAAACATATGTTAGGCAATTGACTTTTGAATCGTAATATGGGAATTTTCGCAGAACAAATACTCGTGTCTTTATCCTTGTCCATAGTAAATTTTGGCAGCGCATTAAAAAATATTGGTAGGACTGACTGCTAAACAGGGCACGAGAACGGGTACTGCCTGCAACACGGATGGTTTTGAGTCGACTTCCAGTGAAATTAGGGTTAGGTTTACGGTAAGAGTAAGGGCCGAGTTAAGGATTATGTTTAACGTTAGATTTTAAAGCTGACGATAGCGTAAGCCAGGATCAAGTTTAGGATTAAGACAGGAGCTAGTAGTAACTGCAGGGTTAAGGTTTAGGGTAAAGTCAGGGTCAAGATTAGAGTTACGGTATAGTTTATATTGTTGGGGTTAGGGCCTTTCTAGAATCATGCGTAGGCCCACCTCTATTATTTGAGCGGAGCGTTCCTATTTCCATATCCCGTTTAGACGTCCAAACAAGTCACTCCCGCAAACAATTTGCCCTTTTATTTGCTCCCCTAACCGACACTAGCCATTTTTCTCTCGGAAAACAAAGTCCTTTTTACTTTATTTTGAAACCATTTCCACCATCTCTTACCACTTCTAGGTCCTATTCCATGGCAGAAAATGCGCGACAAAGTGGCCACACAAATACTGAAATATTTCTTAACCGATTAGCATTGGAATCGTTCTGCTCTTTAAATACGCATATGGTCAAAATAAACCCCATATAGAACTTCGGCAAAAACTAAATTGCATAAGTATGGAAACAGTCACTTTGTGATTGCTTATGGAACATTTTTGCGTATGAAGAGATTGCAGGTGTGGTAAAGCAGTGATTGTTTGTTGACACCATCAGCGTGTTTATGCGCATAAAACTGCATCGATTAAGAAGGTGGAATTTTTAGTTAAGGGTTTCATTCCGTTAGAAACTGACACGGTTAAGCACATTCTGCATCATCTGATTTACACTAACTGAAAAATAAATGTTCACCTTGGCGAATGATGACTTGGCAAACCCGCAAATACGCACATGTGGTCTACGGTAATTGCTGCATAGAAAATTGCCTGGAGATACTGAAGGGTTGATTTACACCAAAAAATTGTAGATAGGTTGCGTAAGAAACTGCCTATTTGACATAAGATAATAAGCTAATAATCAGAATGCACAACGTCCGAGAAAATATAAACTGAGTCTGAATCTTGGTCACCTACCGACTTACCTACATGCTGGACAAGTCATTAGCCAGGGTAGTTTTTATAGAAAGGAACATTCTCGATCGGCCCTTTCCCCGTAAATCATTGTTGTGCATTATTAATACAAGGTGCTTTAAAATGCACTGTTTAAGTCAAAAAGGCGGTTGCCACTCCTACTGTTAGCCGAAGCGGGTAAAATTAGATGTTTTCACTCTTCGCAATCTGGAGGTAAAAGTATGTTAGTCGAGCATGGACTGTGGTGTACACATTTGGCTAAAAGCGACCCGCAGTGGCAGTAGGACTTAAGCAATGGTAGCTGCAGAACGCGAAGAAAACCCATATGCTTTATCCCACTCATTTAGGAGAAAGAGAGAAAGAGAGAGAGCCTGCGAGTTCGACCTTCGAGTTTGAATCAGCAGGCAGTAATAACGGGCTGGTAAATAATACCTAAACTCGTAAACTTGCGTCAATATAGAACACACACTGTACAAAAAATTTGGATATATTTGATAAGTCGTCATGCCTTCCAACAGAGAAAGTATATTTTGCATGTTCTGAGACCTGCAAAAGTGTTGGAACGACAAGGTGAGATCACGCGGCTGACAGTCGGGGACATATCTGCCGCACGAACATGAATTATTAAATCGGGTTACCTTTTGATCCTACTAGGGTGATAGGGGAAAAGGTCTGGAAGTCGTCCTA